TAATGAACTATAAGTTTGGAAAATGATTTGTGGTGTTGGAAATGTAAAGAAAAATATGAGAAACGAAGGTTTCTAGGGAGTGTATACATAAATGTGTGCTTACGGAAATATAAAAAAATGAGTTGCAGGAGGTATGGAGAATTTTTTAGTGAGAGAGTTGAGATGTTGAAGATAAAGATTTCTTAAAGGTAAAATGTATCTAATGCCTTCTTTTTCTTCTCTACGTCTTTTCTTGCCAAAAATAAAGGAAAAATCAAATATATAGATGTAGTGGCATTTTGGTAATTTTGGGTTTGTAAGGCCAAAGCAACCTAACAATCTAATAGTCCGATTTAAGTTGTGTAAGGACAGGTGTCAAGTTTGAAGATGATTTGGACATTTCTAATACCCTTTGATATGTGATTATGAATTCTCCAACATTTCCAACGAAGGACTATTGGTCCGCTAGAGCCTTCCCATTCTAGGTAACTTTATACCTATACGTAATGCCATATTTAGCATGCAATTGAGTATCACTGGTAAATCTTCCTCTATTTGAGATTTTGGTAAACTTCCTAAGCAAAATATAATCTCTGTTGCCAATTTCCCATATAGTGAAACTTATGTAGTCGTCCATGCATTAAAGACCACTGTAGGTTGGTCATGGAAACTCAAATGGCATCTTCAGTTGGTTTTTAATGGGGTTGTAGGTCTTTTAGTTATCATCAAATAATGCAGCTTTTGGGGTCAAGTTTTGCCTTCACGTGTTTGCCACCCATCTTTTCTTGACAAAGATGAGCAATATCACTAGCTCGAAACTTGGTTGGCATGAATACTATACTTTACCAAGCAGGCAACATTTATCCATCCATGCCTGTCAAAGCACTACTTACATAGTTTATTCCAAATAATCCTCATGAGCTTAGGTTCACGGGTTTGTGTTCATCTACATCAAATAGTGAAATATGAATGAATATTTGTTTAAATATATAAGTGTAAAATATGTAAATATTTGCAGTAAAAAAGAATACTCCCTTATGTATTGAAAGAGATGGTGTGAACAAATATCTCTATGCCTCTTTATCCACTTGTCATTAGAAAGACTTATATAATATTGTTGTATATGTCTGGCAATACACTGAGATAAAGAATGTACAATGTGAGTGTGTGTTGCAATATTGTTTTATCGAGCTAAGTGTCATTAGTTAATAATACCTGCTAACACATGAAAATGTAATAGAAATATGTTAAAGATTAGGATTAATGGCGATGGATAATTTTGCCCTTTTGTGTACAAAGAATGATAATGTGCATAGCTGATAGCCATGTTATATATCATAGGGTCAGTTAAGAATAACTTTCCATAGCCAAAAGGACAACAGTAACCAGTTTTGCCCATGGCTGAATTGTGAATTATATGGAGCAAAGTATTCTTAGTAATTTACCAAGTCACAAAGGGGATACATCTTGTTAATCCAGAACTCTAGCATAGTGATGAATATAATAAAATGGGTGAAGTGTTATCCATGGGAAGGGGACACCAACCGCTAGCCACATCCATGGCCTCTAGTACAAACAAAGTTTAATACCACGATAAGATCACTACAATGATGGCTCTTCTTGAACATACCTGCACTGTTAAAGGGTGGTTTTGGTTGTTTTTGCATGTTAAGCATCGCACCACCATGCACGAGTGACCACTAAGGAGCTACCAGTCGCAACTTGATGGATTTTTATCACTAAAAGGTAGCCATCCCAACCAATCATAGGGTTGTAATTATTATTGGCCTCACTTTAATCGTACCGAGTTGCTCTAACTCTATCCATTTCCTAGAACCAATAAAATAGAAAATGTAAAAATGTAGAAATCTAACTTTTTATCTATTTTTAGGAGTCAATGTAGTAAAAATGTGTAAAGATATATAACCTTTTACCCGTTCCAAGAGGCTAAGTAAAATAGTAGGTCTAACCCTTCCATTGCTAGGAGCTGTGTAGATGTAATAAATTCAATCTGTTGTCCATTGATGGAAGCTATATAGATGTAGTAAGACAGACTTTTTATCCATTATTAGGAGCCAATAAGCAAATGTTGCAATAGAGATCATAACCATAACAAACATCCAGTCATGTTGTAGAGATAAATGTAGTCGCATCTGGCCATGTATATAAGAAAAATGCTAAAGTAGATCATGTCTGTAACATTCCTAGTGGAGTTTGTGAGTGCCGCTTCTGGCGATGCTAACTCTATTGTGATCATCAACAGAAAATATAATATAGCATTTCTTATGTGGAAATAGATCATGTGGACCCTTTTTAGTCATAAGTTCAATGCTAGTCTTGTTGATGTGGTGCTACACATATTGTGAATTCCAAAACAATGCAAATTCGTCCTTCAATAGCTTGTTCATAATAAAACCCAAATGAAGGTGCGAGGTTTTGTCAAGATTGCCGAACTCAATTATGCCAATGTTTTTTTACTGGTTCCAGGACAAAAAAATCTAGAAGCAAAGGCAAGCTATGCCATCTTCAAAACTCCAAACAACAAGCCTCTCATATTCAACCTTAAGCTCCTCTAGTCACCACCGTTACTACATCACCATCGGAGAGTTCAACATCTTCAAAAGGGTTAACTAGACCTTTTAGGTTTCCTATGGCGAGGGAACCCATATCTAGGTCCTTGCTCACGTGACGATGAGAGGATCTAGATCTGGGTCCTTGCTCACAACCTGGATCTATAGGTTCTCTATTGCTATTGTAATCTTTTTTTCTTTTTTTCTTTTTGGCTTGTGACTTTCTTCTGATTTTATTGAGAAGACTAGGTTGAAGAAGTTAATTGGATAGAGTTTTCTAAGTTTTCTAGGTTCTCTATTTTTGGATTTTCATCTTGAAATTTGGCTTAGGTTTCTAGTTATTTTCTTTTGTTGCGTGCGGTTACTAAGAAAGGGTGGGAAACTCTCCAAACTAACTGCTTTTGAAGTTATGGTATATTCTGTCCCTATATATTCTATGTTGTTATGTCCCTATATCTTTTATGTTGTTAAAAAAAAAAAGGAAAGGGTGGGAAATTGGAAGCGAAATTATAAATTAATATATTTTAAATAATCAAGTAATTTTATTGGTTAATAATTCACTAAAAAATTGATGGGACCCAGTCTAGTTGTTTTTTTTTTTTTTTTTAAACAAGTCATGCCTTTACCATGCTGTAAAGTACAGGTGTTGTATTTCTTGAGAAGTTATGCATCTATCGTTAATTAACATGCCATTTTAGCTGAATTTTATCTTAAGGACCAAAATAGAGTTAAAATTTTAATTTTTTGGGACTAAAACATGAATTTTTAAGTTTAAAGACAAAATTAGAATTTCATATAATAATTAAGGAACCAAAGCAAGGGTTTAACCAAATTTATTTATAATGCAATCTTTTGAAAAAGGCTTTAGACATCTCAAAATTGATTTCAAATTTATAAATGTTACTACTAAGTTTCAAATTCGATGAATTTCATAAATTCTAAAATTTAGAATAAAATATAATTTTGTTCATATAAATATATAAGAAAAAAAAATTTTCAATTCAAGTTAACAATAAAAATTATTAGTCTTACTAATTAAAATTTTACTCTTAAATTAAATAAATTAAGTTTTTAATATTATTGATAGGGTCTTTTACAATATATTCGATTTGAGAAAAATTAAGAGAAGAGGAGAGATGTATTTTTTAACTAATTAAATATTATATATTATAATTTGATTAATTAAAAAAATCTTTTATATTTGTAAACAAAACATAAGATCATCAATAGTTGATAAAAATGAAATTTCAATCTCAAACTAAAAATGTAGAATAAAGATTTATTTACATATAATTTTTATTTATTATATTTGTATAAAATTTTAATTATTTGTCTCTTTACATTTAATGGAGATAATTATTTTTATTTAAAAAATTATAATAAATTATAATAATTAAAAATAAAAAATACTTAAATAATTAAAATTTTGTATAAATGGAATGTATAAGATTTATATATAAATAATTTTTTAAAAAAAAGGAAAAAAAAAAGGAAGAAAATAAATCGGAAAACCTTTCCGTTAAAGGTACGGACACTGTACGAGCTGCGCGTGGGGATCATACGTTGTGGAAATAGGAGTAGGACGTATTTTTCTCGCCCGGTTCCTCTCTCCTTCCTCGAATTTCCAAAGAAAGGGGTAGCGGCTATAAAAAAGCACTCTCATCTGCTCGCTTTGGTTTACACCAACTAGAAAAACAAATTGCTTGATCCTCAGAAATGGAATGCCGCAATTTGTACGGCGATCTGAGAAAGGTGATCGAGGAGCTGGTACGGGGCCGTGAATCGGCGAACGAACTGAAGGATCTTCTCATGAAGTCTTCGGGGGCCCCAGATCTGGTGCTGGTTGAGAAAATCTTAAACTCGTTTGCGAACTCGATTGCGAGGTTGAGTAGCGGCCGCGACCAGTCGGACGAGGTTTCGCAGAATCTGAGGATCAAGCCGGAGGATTCCGGCGACAGTATAAAGAGTTCAGTGAAAAAGGATGGAAGAGGATGTTACAAGAGAAGGTAATGAAATTTTCGTAAATGTTTTCAGGATAAATATAGATTAATATTTCTGAAATTGCTAAGGAAAATTTTGAAATTAATTATTTTCAGGAAATATTCGGAGTCATGGAGTACAGAGACTCCGACTCTGAGCGATGACGGCTATGCTTGGAGAAAGTACGGGCAGAAAGATATCCTCAAGGCCAAACACCCCAGGTGACTTTTTGTTTTATTTTATTTCATTTTCTCTATTTTCAATCTGTTTTTTACAGGTATTTCCAATCATTTTTAGAGTGAAATATTGGAATTAATATAAATATAAAACAAATGAGATCAAGATCGATCTCCTAATAGTTCTAATTTTGATTTTAATCTGAAGATTTTATAATTTATTTTTATTTTTAGTTTTTTGGTTTGGATAGTCAGGGATCTCAGATAATATTTTTCTTATCTTAAACAGTAAATTTTTAAAAAAGGAAAAATGGCCATATAAAAAGAGTACTAACAAAGAAATTATTACTCATCTATGTGGTATAAAGGTTTTAATTGGTTGTATGACATGAATTAGGTGTTTCAGCTTTGAATTTTGAACCTGAATCCTACTTGCGGCATAAGTTACAATTTATATCACATCAAAAACTATTAATTTGTTTCCCCATGTGGGAAACAAATAGGAGTTGAACTGAACCTGAGGCGTGTCTCATGTGGTCATTGTATGGGGTTTTTACGTACACCGGATTCAAATCTCCTTGTTTCCCCAATTCATCCTCCTTTTCCCCCAATTTCCTTTGTACAAAAAAGAAGAAAAAAAAAAAAAAAAAAAGGGAGTTGAACTTATCAGGTTTGTAGATCTTTTTAAAGAAAAAAAAAATTAACAGGAGAATTGATGTTCTGAAATTTTTTTGCCCAAAAAATTACAGGAGCTATTTCAGATGTACGCACAAGCCTGATCAGGGTTGCCAAGCAACGAAGCAGGTTCAGAAAATTGAGGACGATCCACCCAAATACAGAATCACATACTACGGCCACCACACCTGCTCTAATTTGCTGAAGAGCTCTCAGCTCATGCTTGACTCCACCTCCCAGGAAGACTCCATCTTGCTCAACTTCGAAACCGGTGCCTCCCCTGTTCCTACTTTTGCTGCTACTGCAGCCGTAATTAAACCAGAAAGCCCCTTCATCCCATCGTTGTCATCAGTAAAACGGGAATACAAGGATGATGTGCAAAGCGAACACACCCACCACCAGTCATCGTCCACGACAACATCAGATTATCTTGTGTCCCCTGACATCACCTCTGGCGGCGGCATGATGGGGTTACCTGATTATGGGGATGTTTTCTCTGGGGTCGTTGATGATGTCTTGCATCAATTTGAGTTCTGATTGTAGATGATTTTTATTTGTAAATTAGATTAACTAAGCCCTTCTGTTGTATTTGTAGAAATTAGACCTGTTCGGTTTCGTCTAAAAGTTGTAAACTACTACCGGGGAAGCATGTAAGCCATTTCCATTGGCCTAATTAGCTTGGGATTATAAAATCTTGGCATGAAAATCAGGTGCCTTTAATATCGGTTATAATTATTTCATTGCAAAATTGGTACAGATTTTATTTTTCTAGTGTATATTTGAATAGTTAGTTCTGAGTTGTTTTTCAGTTTAAACTTTAAAACAATGGCTCTGTATTTTATTTATAATTTTATATTTTAATATATTTTAAATTATAAAATAATTTTTAATATTTTAATTAAAAAAATTGTTGTATAATTTTAGATTAAAAATTCTTTCAATATCTCAAGTTCACAAAATTAGGGAAAAATGATTTGGCTTGTAAGGAAATAATTTCCTGAAAAGACCAGACAAAATAGGCACTTAAAATCTATCACTGTTTTTTTTTTTTCTTTTGTTAACGGTTTTTTTTATAACAACTCTATTATATTAATGGATGAATGACCCACTCCATGGGCGTAGATGAGCACATTCATTGCAGGGGCCGCTCCATGTTATTGTTATGTTACGTTTAGTGTTCCCGAGTGTTGGAGAGATTCAGTGGATATACTGATTATAATCAGCAACGTTTTGCCTTTTTCATAAACGACAAGGGGGTGTCTAATCTTTGGCCTGTACGTATCGAAGGGGGGGAGAGAGACTATATCACTATAATGGCTTTAATCAAATTTGAATATGAAAGTGATGATGATATGTGCGGCTGAAAATGGTTTGTTGCTGCCTTTGGAAAAAGTGAACATTTGTGAAATTGGCCCATGATCAAAAGAATTTTTATACCTTGGATATTTTTTTTTTTTTATAACTTTCCAGATTTAGAAGGTGATCAAATTAAGCAGGGAGAAATTAATGGTTAATGAGTTTGATTAGTGATCAATTGCATCTTTTCTTTACTTGTCAAGTGGAATGTCCTTGATTAAAGTGCTTGATTTTCTATTTCTCTTTCTCTTCCTCTTTTCTACTTTTTGGCATAATGAAAGATGCTCTCTGTAGGGTGCAGGATTAGGAAGAGAAATTTTGAATTTTTGATAAAGGAATTAAGACATAGTAGTTCTATCCATAATTTCAATTTAAAAAATTATCTGTCCATAATTAAGTAAACTATTTTATCAATAAAAAAAAACTCCTTTTAGTAAATGAAATCAAACTATTAGGTATTGGCTTGACTTTTAAATAGCAAGGATTCTTACTTTACTTGAGCCTTAATTTCAAAAATATTCCATTCAATGAAGGAATAACTCTGATGTGGTACCTCACATTTACGTAATAATTTTGTCACTTAGGAAAAAAATTAACATTTAAAAAACTTTTACATTTCAATTTAAGGTGTAAAACTTTACATAAAAATGTAATGTTGGGTGCCATGTTGAGTGGATAGAGGTTTTTAAAGTGGTCTCTTTCTTCATTTTTTTTTCCTTAAATTTTTTGTGAGTTCTTTTAATTTGTGTTTCTATTGTCACTTTTCATCATTACCCCTTCTTTAATATTAACTGTTTTCGAGAGAAAAAACTATTCCTGAATAATTGATGTATTAGAAAATCAAGATTACATTTATTTTTTTTCCAAATTTACCATCACTGGGATTTTTTTTCTTTTAACCATTCCTCTCCCCTCTTTAACTACCCAATTTCCATTTTTCTCCTTCACTTTCTCTCTCTTTTGTAACTTAATCACTAATCCCATTTTTTCCCTTCTTTTCTCTCTTTTAGAATCCATATTTTTCCCCTCACTTGAAATTGATCCTGGAAACAATATTTTTGCCTTCAATCATGGTGAAGATCCTCCTTCTGATACTTAATTGAACAGTAAAAACACTTTTGGAGCGACTTTGTAGGGATTGAAGAGGAAGTAAAGAGGAAAAGGCAAGGAAAGAGATGAGAGAAGAAGATGGCAGAGGAACCAAAAAACTATTCTTGATGGCGAAAATAAGAAGAAGTCTTTGTTGTCTCGAATTTAATCTTACTATAAGAGAATTTGTCTTTCTTTTTTTTTTTTTCAAGTTTTGATTTGATGATCAAAATCTAGGTTTAAGAATTCATGGAATTTGAATAAAAATGCCAGTAGATGAATAGAAAGCATAGAAACTATTGAATGCGAAAATCATGTTGAAAATTTTGGAAATTTCTTTAATAACACATTGTAAGTTTAATGAGAAAGAAAATAATTTTAAAGGTGTAAAATGGCGTTGTAGACATATAAATCCCTACCAACGAGGGGTTGGATCAAGTGGCTGGATCAAGTGGCAAGCGGCTTGTTTCAGCTTAAGTAAGATCTTGAGTTCGAAATCTTGTGTACGCAGCAGTTTTCGTTGGGAGACCCACCCACCATTCTGGTGCGCCACAGCTGATCGAGTCCGGAGTAGTCGGGGCTTCGCCTCAGATACCGAGCGAGAAACAAAAAAAAAAGACATATAAATCCCTAAAATCAAGAGTAATTAATTGATTTTCTTAATTTAACGGAAATATTTTAATTAAAAAATTAATAAAATTTTATTAACTTTTATTTTTATTTATAAATTAATGATAAAAAATATAATTAATATATCCTTAACTTATATTTTAATGATATATATTAAATTTTTTTTGTTAGTACATTAAATACATGTTACAAACATCTCCCATACTTTTCTTAGCGGACGAAACTTTTTTTTTATTAGGTTTAAGAAATTTTAAAAAATAATTTTTTAAAGTCCTAACCTTAAAACTTAAATCATAAACTTAGTTTACAATACCCTATTTACTTATCCAAATGCATACCTTTAGGCTTTAGGCTGTAATTATGTTGGAATGAGCAGGCGGAAAGGGAACATATACTCATCCCACACTGTCATCACGGTTCATCCAAAGCTTAAAAGCTTGGGCTTTCTTTTGGTTAAGACTTCAACGCCTGTCTTTGTAACAAACAATACCCCACCCCTTCCTGGAACTTGCCTATGTTGAAAACAAGAAAAAATCTCAGTGTCATCGAAAGAGTTGTTGAAAATTAATGGGAATCATTGACCATAAAGCGATTTTGAACAAGAGATTTCAAAATCTAGACCGAAGAATTAATTCATTATTGTATGTATGGGTGAATTAAAAAAAAAAAAAATTGTCAGTCATAAGCCTTTTAATTGTTTATGGGTAGTCAGTCCTAAACGTTTTAACTCGTTCGCAATTAAGTCCTTTAATTTATGTCAAATATCACTGTTAAACAACGAAAAATGAAATATTACAGTGCTTTTTTTGTAACATAAATGTTTTTTATGATTGTACTACATTTTAAAATATGGGTATCTTGTTTTATGATTTTAAATATTTTAGATTGTAGAATAAGAATTGTTTACCGTTTGAATAAGATTGTAAAACATTTTTTCGTTAAAATATCATTTCAAAGTTAGAGAAGATAAAAATACTCTTATTATTAAAACGAAATTGATTAAACAATAATTTTTATATAATTTGTTATACAAATTTATATATTATTTAA